AGGCTGAGCCCCACGGCTGGCACCCGGCCCCTGCGAAGCTTCGGGAGCTCCCGCCATTGTCCCTGTGAAACGGGGCACTCAGCCGAGCGCAAATCCAGCCCTCGCGTGCCAGGGGCAGCGCTGGCTCGGGGGCTCAGCCGCCCAGAACCTGAGCCACCCCCCCAGGCTACGGCCAGTGGGGGCAAAGGATGCTTGGGCTCGGCCACCAGCGAATTTTGGCTAAGCCACAGTGGCTGTTTTCCTCCCCTTGCACCAGACGCGCAGCAGAGGGTCGCGGCTCAACATCATCATCATCGCCGAGGGCGCCATCGACCGCAGCGGCAAACCCATCTCCTCCAACTACGTGAAGGATGTAGGTGTCTGCTCCGGCACCCGCTCCCGCACCCACGGTGGCTGGTGGGTCCTCGACGTGACATCCTCTCTGCTCCACAGCTGGTGGTGCAACGCTTGGGCTTTGACACGCGTGTCACCGTCCTCGGCCATGTGCAGCGCGGAGGGACCCCGTCAGCCTTTGACCGCGTGCTGGTAGGTCCGGGGGGGGGGAACACGGAGGGGGGGTCACCCTGCAGGAGCAGGCAGCTGGGGAACCCCGCTCCTGCCTTCCCTCTGCCTGTTGCAAAGGACTTGCCAGCTGGGATAAGGCTCAGACAGTCCCCGTGGGCTCGGCCCCGCTGTGCCAGGCGATGTGCCCATTTCCCTTCCTTTGCTGCAAATTTCACGGGTTTTTAAATAAAACCAGCAGCTCTCTGGCTGTAATCAGGCGTGCAAGCAGCTGCGTGGTTTCCAAGCCCATGGAAGCATCCCCATGCGAGCCCAGGGGAGCATCCCACATGGCTGGCATGGGCGGCCCCAGTGTCAGGAGGCAGCGGGTGCCCCTTTCCCTTTGCAGAGCAGCAAGATGGGGATGGAGGCGGTGATGGCGCTGCTGGAGGCCACGCCGGACACCCCCGCCTGTGTGGTGAGCCTCTCGGGGAACTCCCCCTGCCACTCATGGAGTGCGTCCAGGTGGTGAGTACAGGGGGGGATCAGGCACGCCAGCCCACTGGGTGGGGGTCCCGCTCCTCTCCCCAGAAGCGCAGGCATCATGGTGCTGCATCTTTTCCCCCTCCAAGACAAAGGATGTGCAGAAGGCCATGGATGAGAAGAGGTTTGAGGAGGCCATCCAGCTCCGTGGGAGGTGAGGAGTGGGGACCAGGATGGGGGGAGACATCCCTATGGGGTGGCCAAAAGGACATGCTGGGATGGGAGCTTCTCCCCAGGGGAAAACCACCGGCTCCTGCAGCCAGGGAGGGTGCCCCTCCCCGTGCCCCGGGGTCCAGGCACACCTCGGGGCCACGCTGCCTTGTCCTTGCAGGAGCTTTGAGAACAACTGGAACATCTACAAGCTGCTGGCACACCAGAAGCCGGCACAGGAGAAGGTGAGGAGGGATGGGGAGGCAGGGGGCG